TCTAATGCAAACTACTCAAAATGATCTATAAAATTAGACTTATTCCAATCTTCAGAATAGTCCATAGTTCTTGATTTTTAAATGAAAGATCCAAGAAGTCCCATGTATGCAAAACCAGCTTTCCATAGCAAAGTGAAAGGCATGGGTACCTCTGAAGACGGCAAGGATGCGGGAGAGACCGAGGAGCCCCGACGCGACGATGGTGACGGCAGCGATCCAATTGGTGTGGTGGAGGTAATGCGTCAGCCTCCTCCCCTCCTCCCCCCACCTGAGGTGTGCATACAGGCAGAAGTAGAGCTTCTGGAGCACGTCCAGGGCCGTCCCCGCCCCGAGGCAGAGCAACGGGTACACCGGGTACAGGAAACGCTCCTCTTTGTGCGGTTGCACCAGGAACACCCCGAGCCAGAGGTAGAGGCCGAGGAACGCGAGAGGGTACGGGATGGTGCGTCCGCCCGCTCCGGTCAGGTGCTCGATCAGCATCTGCAGCACGAACACTTTAGTCAAGGATGGCAACCAGATTCACATATAATTCAAGTAACAACTAAATTATTCATGGTGAATGAATTGAATGAGGATTCTCTTCAACATTTGTCAGTTGTCAGTTTCTGTCAACTGAAGACAGACAAAAGTTGTTGAAAATCCTTTTTTCTTTTTAAAAATGGGAGCATTGAAAACAGATCCAAAAAAATAAGAGAAACAGCACATTCATAGAGTGACATTTAGAACAAGAATTTGTAGTACAAGACACATATACTACACAAGCTCAGGATATAAATGCTTCAGCATAGACCTCACTTAAAAACATATTAAAGAATTTTAGATTAACCAGAAGGCAGAGATGGTAGATTTACCGCAAGAGGAAGGGCAAGCAGGCCAAGGAGAAAGACAACATTGAAGTTAAGGAGGCCATTGACGATGTAATACGTCCACGGCTCCGTCCCGTACAGCTCCGACCCTCCCCGGAAGACGTTGTACAGCACGATGTTCAGAGCGGGGAACGTGAGGCGACCGTACATCTGCGAGTCTATGTATATCACTGGCACCTGGAAAAGAGACCCAGCATCCAATACTATGAATGAAGTTTCATGCATAAATGAAATCAACAAGGTGAGCCAGCTGATAATTTTGTGCATTCAGTGATTAGGCCTAATTCATATTGGGAGGATGCATCACTATGAAAAGCTAACAAGGAGCTAATGACTGCTGCCTGAACTTGAAAGAATCAATGCTACAACCAAACAGGATTATAGAAAAGCCATCAACATACCATACCAGTAATGAAAGCTTAAGAAAGTAGAACTGTTCCAATCCAATATCTTCAAACATGCCACAGAATTATGAAATTGAGGCACTGATTTCACACATTGGCAATCATATGGGCAATAGCTGTTTTCATGCTGTCTTCCTAATCTACCTCTTCAAGAGCTGCCATTCAAATGCCTCAACCTACAAGGGCTGCACAGAACATACCACACCCAAAATTATCAACGGTCAATTATTAGAAAATTCATAATCATTATAAAAGCAAACTCCGTTCACTTAAATACCTGGCAGTGCCTTGCTGAGGTCAAACAAAGAGCACTCACCACGACAAGGAGGACTGACATGGCCACAGACTTCGCAAACACCTTCCACACCTTCCGGCGGAAGAGCATGTCGATCGCGATCGGAACCCTGGGAACCCAATTCATTTTGTGAATAACATCACTTTGCTTCAAGGATAACCTCTTTCCATTACAAGACAGAGCCTGCTTGGTTTACAATGAAATGCCACAGAACATTTTGTCAATTTGTTTTTTGTTTTGCTAACACTTGTAAAATGTTGGGAATCTTCACCTGAACATAGCATAGCATTTCAAGCAGAAATGTACCAATGAGAAAACCCTTTAGTGAGACCAGAGAAACAGGTATGTACACTTCTGAAGGTGAAATAAAAATAGAGAATTTTATGTTTATAAGAAACTAATGAAAACATTAACCTATTTATTTGCCAACTACTGATGGTATAAATCACTATATGAGGGAGAGGTTGGTTGCATCAGGATCTAGGTCAATTGACACTCATTTTGAGAAACCAATTCAAGGAAGTTTCCTCCCACATGGTAAATAATACACATCCATCTACTGCAAACTGAAACTAATTCACACACTCTCCCTAGCCCAATTCAACCATAGCAGGAATCTCAAGAACTTAATTTCGGCATGAAATAAAGAAATGAGATAAGAAGCATGGGTTCGTCTCGCCGCTTCCCGGTGGGCTTCTGCCGGCTATACCGCCACCTGTGCTGCCGGTGGAGCAGGTAGGGGGCCTTGGTGCTGGGGTAGCTGTCCTCTGTGTACATGGACGGTATGTCAGGAATTCCCGATGTGCATCACCTTTATACAGGCTTTAAACCCAATTCAGGGGTTTTACCCTTAGTGAACTTCCCAACTATTTTCTTTTCTCAACTCCATGACCTTTTTCATTAGGATGGCTTTCTAATATCACAGACTTCTCAAATCTTCCAATAAATAATAAGAGCCTTTCCTGCCACTTTCTGTGGAACATTAATAAACACAATTACAGCAATCTACATGTCATCTCACACCATCTCCATGCATCCTACCACACAGACTCACTCAAAACTTCCGAAGAACCTCAATGACGCTGTCAGAACAAAGAAGCTCACATGGCAAAGCAGCTGCCCTCCATACGCCACCGCGTCACCTTGTAGGGACGCGACTCGTGGTCCTTGGGGTCCCACTACGCTGGGTGCAACCTGGGGTCGACCGACGTTTACGGGGACGTTATTATTTGGTGATGAACATAAGTAAGTGAAGTCTTCCATGGTCATAGGCCTATACAAACAATTCTTTTCTCATTCTTATTAAACAAGAAATTATAAAAATGTGGACAACTCAATAGAGGAAGCTTGACCTAAGCAGAACATGAATAAAAAACAAATTTGGGTATTTAAGTTTCTAGTTCAGGAAACCATCAATGATCAAACATTTATTTTAATTTTTTTTTTCATTTTCTAAGTTAAGTAAAAGGCATCAACACCCTTTCAATTACCAAATATTCATTAAAATAATACCCTTAAATACTGTCTTAATGCTGAGTTGATCCGAGAAAGCACTCCGGCAAGAAATCCTCAAAGCACGAGGGAGACATTTTCCTTGCCTGTAGAAGTGGACCTCGCACAGGGCGCAGACGAAGGCAAGGATCCAGCGCAGGAAGTAAAACACCAGCATCTTGTTGGACTGAAGGAGCCAGCTGTAGAGGAAGGCCGGGAACGCATGCAGGGCGATGTACGAGTACGATCGCAGGGCGAAGTCCGGGGAATACTCCCAGGTCTGGAAGCCTGTTCCGTACAGCATGAAGTGGGTCTGCAGGATGAAGGAAAAAAAAGGAAGAAAATTTGAAAGGTATGTGATTAAATGATGCCTTTCGCAAAAATCATGTTTATATATGCCTGCAGCATTTCAGATTTGACTTTCTGCTCAACCCAAGCCTACTGACGTGGCAAAAAAGAATTACCACAAGATGCAACTTCAATTGCCTCTAGTCATTTATAAGCACTGATTCATTTCAAAGATCAGACAGTGGATCTTAAGTACAAGGCAAATCATCATGGGGTATGCCAAAAAAAAAAATTCATTGGAGGCAAAACAGGCCGACCTGCATGGACCCAGGATTCAAAAGATGAAAGTGCCGAGGAAATTTAATACAACGTCGTGACTTCAAAAGACCATCCAATATTCAAAATCGTACCGGTTCCCAGTAGTTGTACGTCTCGTCGCAGTCGTGGATGTTGTTCCAGAGGGCGGAGCAGAGCCGGGCCGAGAGGAGGGCCTTCATGGCCGTGTAGCCGTTGGGGGCCCAGATGTCGTCGGATCTCTCCTCCCGCTCTTCGTCCGCCTCATCTCTGGATGATGTAGATCGTGTCAGACGAGGGGCACATTATGCACTAATCATTTGAGCATTTTTATTAAGTAATTCTCTGTATAGGTCGATGATCTTCATGCCAAGATGATCTGGGGCTTCCATTATGAAGCCCCACATGAATTTTGCCTTGCAAACAGCTGCTTTTCAAGATTCAAGATAGTGACATCAAGAGGCGATTTCGCCCATTTTGATATCACGTGTCAAGGTCGAGTGTTCCTTAATTTTAGGGTAGGCCTAACCCTCTTAAAGCGAAATATTTTTGTATAATTTTTTTTTTTTAACTATCCTAGTTGCTTACAGTCTAGTACCTAACGTCTTTTCTCTCAATTGCATTATTTGTCAATAACAGGAAGCCCAAATTTTGTTCATTTCAGGTCAGAGAGCAAGGCTACATTAAAGGCTGATATTTACCTGAATAAAAAATAAATAAAACAGAAATGGAAAAAACATTAGGTCATTAATGCAGTCAAGATACAAGGGGAAAAAAAAATGTTTCAGGTTCACATTAAGGGGCCTAAATATGAAAGCAACTTCCCCAGCCAAGCTGGATCTTTGGCCTATACTCCAACATGAACTAGGAAACACAAACGAGGCTATCACAGCCCTACATAAATTTGTGCCTTCCAAACTTGCACTCTGAATAGAGGTAGGCCCACACCCAACTGCAACAAGTCTCACTTCTGAAGTTACCCAATAGACAAATAGAATAATAATGAACCTCTGGGCACACATGACGACTACTCGACAGAATCTCTCGTCACAACAGATCAGCCCGCAATGCAATAATCCGCGGCGAAAAAAAAAAAACTAACTAACCCGGAGAGCTGCCGCTTCTCCTTCCACTCTTTGAGGGAAACCGCCCCGCCCTCGCTCCGCCGGTTCTCCAAAGTCCTGCGATTCCGATTCCTCGTCTGCCCCATCTTCCCATCACTCGCGGACGCCTGTCCCGATCACACTGCGAGGGGGAAAGGGCCTCCGTTGTGCAACGGAGCGGCGCTGGTCACCGGACGACGACCCGCACGTGACATCGCTGCGGCCATAATGAGGCGCAGGGTTGCCGGAGCGGCGCAGTGTTGCCNTCGTCCATCCCCCGGAACCACGACCCCATCGACAGGAGACACATGTACCTGCCAATGTCAGGAATTCCCGATGTGCATCACCTTTATACAGGCTTTAAACCCAGTTCAGGGGTTTTACCATTAGTGAACTTCCCAACTGTTTTCTTTTCTCAACTCCATGACCTTTTTCATTGGGATGGCTTTCTAATATCACAGACTTCTCAAATCTTCCAATAAATAATAAGAACCTTTCCTGCCACTTTCTGTGGAACATTAATAAACACAATTACAGCAATCTACATGTCATCTCACACCATCTCCATGCATCCTACCACACAGACTCACTCAAAACTTCCGAAGAACCTCAATGACGCTGTCAGAACAAAGAAGCTCACATGGCAAAGGTCGACGGGAGGTATGCGGTGGCGCAGTGGAACATCCCTGCGCTGAGCACCAGGAACCCCAGGGTGATGCGACCCACGTTGGACCCCAGCTGGCTGCAAATGCCCCTGCAATAATAAACCACTACTTTATAAGTGAAGTCTTCCATGGTCATAGGCCTATACAAACAATTCTTTTCTCATTCTTATTGAACAAGAAATTATAAAAATGTGGACAACTCAATAGAAGAAGCTTGACCTAAGCAGAACATGAATAAAAGACAAATTTGGGTATTTAAGTTTTTAGTTCAGGAAACCATCAATGATCAAACATTTATTTTAATTTTTTTTTCATTTTCTAAGTTAAGTAAAAGGCATCAACACCCTCTCAATTACCAAATATTCATTAAAATAATACCCTTAAATACTGTCTTAATGCTGAGTTGATCCGAGAAAGCACTCCGGCAAGAAATCCTCAAAGCATGAGGGAGACATTTTCCTTACCTGTAGAAGTGGACCTCGCACAGGGCGCAGACGAAGGCAAGGATCCAGCGCAGAAAGTAAAACACCAGCATCTTGTTGGACTGAAGGAGCCAGCTGTAGAGGAAGGCCGGGAACGCGTGCAGGGCGACGTACGAGTACGATCGCAGGGCGAAGTCCGGGGAATACTCCCAGGTCTGGAAGCCTGTTCCGTACAGCATGAAGTGGGTCTGCAGGATGAAGGAAAAAAAAGGAAGAAAATTTGAAAGGTCTGTGATTAAATGATGCCTTTCACAAAAATCATGTTTATACATGCCTGCAGCATTTCAGAATTGACTTTCTGCTCAACCCAAGCTTACTGACGTGGCAAAAAAGAATTGCCACAAGATGCAACTTCAATTGCCTCTAGTCATTTATAAGCACTGATTCATTTCAAAGATCAGACAGTGGATCTTAAGTACAAGGCAAATCATCATGGTGTATGCCAAAAAAAAAAATTCATCGGAGGCAAAACAGGCCGACCTGCATGGACCCTGGAGTCGCAAGGTGAAAGTGCCGAGGAAATTTAATACAACGTCATGACTTCAAAAGACCATCCAGAGGTCAAAATCGTACCGGTTCCCAGTAGTTGTACGTCTCGTCACAGTCATGGATGTTGTTCCAGAGGGCGGAGCAGAGCCGGGCCGAGAGGAGGGCCTTCATGGCCGTGTAACCGTTGGGGGCCCAGATGTCGTCGGATCTCTCCTCCCGCTCTTCGTCTGCCTCATCTCTGGATGATGTAGATCGTGTCAGATGAGGGGCACATTATGCACTAATCATTTGAGCATTTTTATTAAGTAATTCTCTGTATAGGTCGATGATCTTCATGCCGAGATGATCTGGGGCTTCCATTATGAAGCCCCACATGAATTTTGCCTTGCAAACAGCTTTTCAAGATTCAAGATAGTGACATCAAGAGGCGATTTCGCCCATTTCGATATCACGTGTCAAGGTCGAGCGTTCCTTAATTTTAGGGTAGGCCTAACCCTTTTAAAGCTAAATATTTTTGTTTATGGACTAATCTAGTTGCTTACAGTCTAGTACCTAATCAGAAAAGAGAGTTAACGTAATAAACAGTTATTGTCCTTCGGGTTTAAAACAAGTAAAGTCCAGTCTCTCGTTCCGATGTAATTTCCGACTATAAATGGACTTATTTTTTATTTATTTTGTCTTTACGAAAAAACATTAGGTCATTAATGCAGTCAAGATACAAGGGGAAAAAAAAATGTTTCAGGTTCACATTAAGGGGCCTAAATATGAAAGCAACTTCCCCAGCCAAGCTGGATCTTTGGCCTATACTCCAACATGAACTAGGAAACACAAACGAGGCTATCACAGCCCTACATAAATTTGTGCCTTCCAAACTTGCACTCTGAATAGAGGTAGGCCCACACCCAACTGCAACAAGTCTCACTTCTGAAGTTACCCAATAGACAAATAGAATAATAATGAACCTCTGGGCACACATGACGACTACTCGACACAATCTCTCGTCAAAACCGATCAGCCCGCAATGCAATAATCCGCGGCGAAAAAAAAAAAACTAACTAACCCGGAGAGCTGCCGCTTCTCCTTCCACTCTTTGAGGGAAACCGCCCCGCCCTCGCTCCGCCGGTTCTCCAAAGTCCTGCGATTCCGATTCCTCGTCTGCCCCATCTTCCCATCACTCGCGGACGCCTGTCCCGATCANCCCGGAGAGCTGCCGCTTCTCCTTCCACTCTTTGAGGGAAACCGCCCCGCCCTCGCTCCGCCGGTTCTCCAAAGTCCTGCGATTCCGATTCCTCGTCTGCCCCATCTTCCCATCACTCGCGGACGCCTGTCCCGATCACACTGCGAGGGGGAAAGGGCCTCCGTTGTGCAACGGAGCGGCGCTGGTCACCGGACGACGACCCGCACGTGACATCGCTGCGGCCATAATGAGGCGCAGGGTTGCCGGAGCGGCGCAGTGTTGCCAGAGCGTCGCCTCCCGTGTATCGCCTGCATCCGGAGTAATTTTGAAATAATATGTGATTGAACGTGAAATAATAATAGTGCTGAGCTGGGTATCTTAATTTTCAATTCGCATAGATGACGAGCGAATACCGACGTACGCGTTGAATCCACGAGACGGACTGTCAGTCTTCGAGCGGATCATGGAGCAGAGCGATGCAATACCGAAGCTGCGCACGCAGGCTCCCTCTCCCCTCCCCTTCCCCGCTCACCTTCCTATACCTCGCTAAGCCTCCCACGAATCCTGGCGAGCAGAGTGGCGCAGTGGAAGCGTGCTGGGCCCATAACCCAGAGGTCCGTGGATCGAAACCACGCTCTGCTACTTGGCTTATCCGCCAAGTCTGTGGATATACCTGATATCTGAATATGAAAATGGATTTGAATAAGAAATTGAAAAATATGAATTGAATATGAATGAATATTGATTACGATATGAATATGAATGAATATTGATTACGATATGAATTTGATTACGTCTCCCGATTTATACTTGAAAATGATATTGAACGAATTGGTGTTATTGAACGTTACTTGTGTAACAGGCCATATCGCAGGGTTAGCGGATAGCCTTTTTTTCAAACTATTCAGAAGAGATGGTAACTCCAAGTATAACCACAGCAGACCCCTTAAATTTGTCGGCGGTGATGAGATGAAAGCCTCCGGTTTTTCATCAACCCTGCTGGAAACCATGACGGAACCACCAGAATGTGAATCATTTTTATTTATATCGCCGCTTTCTCTGGCCCGTGAGTATTTATTTATTTCCATCGATGCGGATACCAAGTTCTCGAATCCCATACAACAATGGAAACAAAATCGCAAATTGATTCCATGGTAAGAAAAAAAGGGCTGACGTCCAGAGAATTTCGCCCCTGGGCTTGAATGGCGAGCTGCAAGCTTTAAAATTGGGGACCATCAACATTCAACGTATCATTTGGAATTCTCTTGGATTAATGCCATTATCAGAATTTGAAAACCAAGTTTCGTATTTTAATGCTGAGCCGTGTATTTACAGGGTAATTCTCAATTTGCATGATGATATGCGAAAACCTCCCTATGCCTCCACGAGGCAGACCGTCGGTCTTCGAGCGGGCCATGGAGTCGGGGTGATGCAATACCGAAGGCGCGCGCGCAGGCTCTCTCCCTCTCCCCTCCGCCTTCCCTGCTCCAACTTCCTATTCATGGTCCATGGATCGAAACCGCGCTCTGCTACTGCAGTTGTGCTAGAACGAACGTTTTTGTGCGTGCAAATAACGCAACAGCCCGCGAAGCATGATTTTTTTTATGACACATTCTGAACGCTGTCATTTTTTATTTAGCGATTTGAAAAAAAAAGCAACATATATTTATACGCGGCATAAAACGCGCTTTAAAATGATACCAGATACGTATATAAACAAAAAAATTCTATTTAGAAAATGAAAATGAAAATCCAGGCATAATCGCAACAGACCCCTTGCATTAGTCGGCGAGACTCATTGCAGGGATGAGACGAAAGTCTCCGTTTTTTGCGTCTACCCTGCTGTGACCGAGCCGCCCAGGGGGCCTGACCCCCCAGGGGTCGGGAGCCTATGGCTCATGAGCCCCGAAAAGTTTGGCTCATGAGTCGTGACGAAAAATTAATGGTTGTTCCTCACATTTCTCATGTATCAAAAAATGCACATGTCTGTTGCCAACTTCAGGAAAAAAAAATTCTGTTGTTTTGAAAATCTTTGGCTCACGAGCACTTAGCTCGATCTTAATATGGCTCACGTGGCCTAAAAGGTTCCCGACCCCTGCCCTAGAGGAAAGCTTCGAACTCGGTAATAAGGCCGTAAACTTTTCCCCCTCTTTAACTCTATTCTCAATCCGAGAAACTCTCTCATACTTAGGAAACTCTCCTCAACGAAGTAACGCTCGAAAAGATCGAGGCCGCGATTAAAAATCTCCCTTAATGAAGCCCGTGGCCCTGATAACATTACCGTAACTCAAAGCAAAGGTCCTGGGATTAAGCATATAGTGTGCTCAATCCCGACCGCGAGCTAAGCCGAGCGACAATTTTGTATTTTTGTTTGTGTGACAACTCAACTGGTCAAACGCTTCGAGACTGAACCGTGTAATGAAATTTGCAAATCGGCCTCTCGAAAGGGAGGGGAGGCAACGTTCACCGAAAATCGGCCGATTCGCTCTCGTCTCGCCATCTTCCGGATGGACGAGGAGACGAGAGCTGTCGTGGCACTCGTACTGGCAAATTTACTATATTATTATTTGCCGTCATTGCCAATTGACTAGTTATGCATTTATACTGCTTGACAAACTGACTTCACGATGCTCATGCCTCACAAGGTGCAATGAGATAATAAATATTACATAAATGGTTCCTTTTCCTTTTTCCCTGCACTTTATTCTTGGGCGAATCAATTCACGTTCGCAAAATGGTTTATTTTGGGCATGGATGTTGGAAACTTCGTTCTCTTTCTAAATCGTTACCATGTCCGAATTGCCTGAGGATCTGGAGTCTTTTTTATATTAGAGGGAGGAATTTTGAAGGCGGTTCAGTCCTTCCATTATGTGGATCGTCATTATGTATCATCGCTTTCACTGGCCTGTGAAAATTTATTTATTTCCTTAGATGGGTATGCCGTGTTCTTGAATCCCATACAGCAATGAAAACAATATCGCAAATGGTAGCTATGGTAAGGAAAAAAGGGGGCTGTCTTCCAGAGAATTTCGCCCCTTGGCTTCAATTTCAAGCTCGGGACATTCAAGTTGAGGTCTATCGACAATAGGAATTCTCTCTGATTAATGCTAGTGGCAGATTTCGACCCTTGCGAAAAATCTCCTGTAGTCCACCAGGGGACTGTCCAAATCCTCCGGGCGATCCACATGTGGACAGACAGTTAGCCATGTGGAATAGTGTGGCCTTAATGTGGAATGTTGTGAACTGATGTGGACATAGGAATATCCACATGGGGACTAATGTGGACATAGGAATATCCACATTTGGACTCTATGTGGATTCATTCAAATCCTCCGGTGGAATTAGGGTGGTCCAAAAGTATGATGATTTTCGTAAGGGGAAAGTCACGATCATGACCAAGTTTCGTATCTTTGTGCTGAGCTGGATATTATAATTCTCAATTCGCATCGATGACGAGCGAATACCGACCTACGCGTTGAATCCATGAGACGCACTGTCAGTCTTCGAGAGGGCCATGGAGTCGGGTGATGCAATACTGAAGTCGCACACGCAGGCTCTCTCCCTCTCCCCTCCCCTTCCCCGCCCAACTTCCCATGAATGTCCTTACTCCACCTGTCTTCACCTTCCTATACCTCGCTATAGCTCGCGCAGCCTGTCTGCGGGAGCAGAGTGGCGCAGTGGAAGCGTGCTGGGCCCATAACCCAGAGGTCCGTGGATCGAAACCACGCTCTGCTATCCAAGCAATCTCATTTTATTCTCTTATCACAAAAATATCTTTGTCAATATCATCATTTTCTCACAAAGTCGTGTTCATCTTCTAGGACACCTCGTATTTCTCATTTATCAAGAAAACTTCACTTTTCTCCCTTCTATCCTCAGAGTTTACCCTAATCCCAACCCTTTCTAGATAAGCGCCACACATCCACCGCTACATCCACGTCTTCCCCTCTCCCCATGCCTGATAACACAGGAATGTAAAAGATATGAGATATGAAAGACCTACGGCCTTTAGCACGTAAATCTTTGCTCTTGCGTGAGCTATTTCCCTAAATACGTCATCCTAATTATTATCGCCTTACCAAGTCAATGAAGAGTTATTCAATGGAAATTCGAAGGAAAATATGCATTTTAACAATTTAACTATTTAATCCGTCATGTGTGACTTCAGGACACTGCTCGTAGAAAGATGAACGGATCTTCATTAGGATGGCGCCAATCGAATGCTTATGTCGTGAAGGCGATATCAATTGGGTAAAAAGTCCAAAGAGTCTGCTGCGAACGTTTTTCGCATGCGTCCTCTGGTTGGCGCGTTGGAGGTCTGCACTGGTCGACTTTTTCCAGTTGAAACTCGATCCCCCCCCTCTCTGCCCCCGGTCCGAGACTCGACTGTAAACCTCGCTACACGCCCGATGTACGGGTCTAATCGGTCCTATCGAGCCGATATGCATCCCAGCAGAGCTGAAAATCATCTCTGAATTTCGGGGGTTCAGCACTCATTCCATCCAAGGCTGATTGAGATCACGACCCGTCACAAGTGGCCTGAAAATTCCAAGTGTACCTGCTTTCAAGAAACATACTCGCAGAAGGGAAAAGGATGTAGATCTTTCACCCACTCCGACACCCACTCAAATCACTTAATACACATGCAAATGACCAATTTGGAGGATCCTGAAAGTGTTCAGTAGAGATATGAATCGACCGTAACGGTCGGGATTTTCTAAGCAGACGAAATTGTGCCGGAAGGCAAACGTCTTCCTCCCTTTCCCACCCACCATTCCCCCGCAGACACACCCCTACCACTCCTCCCATTCAAAGGTATAAAAGCAGAAAGATTCGCCATCAAACGCACAGTCATCCACCTCCGACCGCAGCGTCAACCACTTCTTGTAAGTCCTCTTTCGTTCCTTTGATTTCAAATTTACTTTATTGCCTGTTGGACCGAGAGCGAAGGAAGCCCTCGTATTCGTGATAGATTTTCGTACTGACATGTATCTGCCTTCATGTCGCT